TCAATAAAAAATGCCAGGGCTTCAAGAAACTGACACGATGTTAAAGGAAATGATGGAAACTGGGACAACACAAAAGAAGAAAGGGTTTTGAGGATCTCCTCTTTGCAAACGCATTTTTCCTGAGGCAGATGTTATCTTTGTTAAATAGTGTCGGAACGGCAAACTGTGGCATTGATTAAGTGTTTACCAGGTCCGGTGTTGTGCAGTGTTTCACGTGTACCATCTCTCTTAACACACCTGGGAACCTTCTGCCTAGGGAGGTGAGGCTGCTTTCCCAGTGTTGCACAGTTGGTGAGTGTGAAGGACCCAGGGAAGGAAGCCCAGGCAGCGGGTCAGCACTAGCTGGGCTGTACTATTCTTGTTCTCTGGAAGGCATTGTATTATACCCATGCATGCGTGCTTAGTCACTCAGGCCTGCCCGACCTTGTGCGACCCCATGGACTGCAGCCCGCCAGGCTCCTCTGTCCGCGGGATTCTCCAGGCAAGAATACTGGAGTGGGTTGCCATTTCCTCCTCCAGGGGATCTTCCCGACCCAGGCATTGAACCCAGGTCTCCTGCGTTGCAGGCAGATTCTTTATCATCTGAGTCATCAGGAAAGCCCCGTATTATATCCATACCCTTCTGTAAAGAGGCCCTGCACTTGGTAGATGAACATTTGCAATCACCGTGCTGATTTCTATTAAAATTAGCAATCACACATCAGCTCTAGATTTGAAACACCAATGACATTGTACGTGGACAGTTACTTTCCTATAGCAGAGCAGTTCCGATGGCATTCAGCCTATGCCCTTTGTGTTGTTTTTTAAGAATCAGGCCAAGGAAGTAGAGAAATGAGGAGGAAAATATCGAGAAGGCAAGAGCCAAAATAAAACACATCATTCTTTCCTCTGAAACGGGTTGTTGCTGCTGTTCAGTTGCTACGTCGTGTCCGGCTCTCTGTGACCCCACACGCCTGCAGTGCGCCAGGCCTCCCAGTCCTTCACCATCTCCTGGAGTTTGCTCAGAATCATGTCCATTGAGTCGGGGATGCCATCCAACCATCTCATCCTCTGCTGCCCTGTTCTCCTTTTGCCTTTAATCTTTCCCAGCATCAGGGTCTTTTCCAGTGAGTCAGCTCTTCACATCAGGTGGCCAAAGCATTGGAGCTTCAGCTTCAGTCCTTCCAATGAATAGTCAAGGTTAAATGGGGGTGACTATCATTAACTTTATAAAAACCATGATGATGGACTTTCCTCCTGGTTTCTGTTCTCAAGGCAGAGCCTCCCCCAAGCTTCAGCTGTTGTTGCTGTTGCATTGCTCCAGTGTTTCTGAGAAGATGTGAACTGTCTAGGGATTAAGGCTTTCAGAAGTAAGTAAATCTATCCTGCCATCTTGAAGATTCACCCACCTGCCTAGGCTATTTAGAAATATTGCTGTTTCAGCAAATAGTTCATTACACTGAAAATAAATTGGAGAGAAGAGCTCAAGGTTTTTAGGCTGATGGTCATCCCTCTCTTGTCATAGTTATCATTGTGTTATTAATTTGTCTATTTATTTAATAGAGAAATTATTGATGACGTACTACCTACCAGGCATTGTTTCATGGCTGGATGCAGCAGTGAACAAACACTAGAATCTTATATTCTAGCCTGGTATTAAGTGGTCTCTATGTTATAAATATGGGGGCTTCCTTGGTGGCTCAGTGGTAAAGAATCCACCTGCCAATGCAGCAAACACAGGTATGATCCCTGGGTCGGGAAGATCCCCTGGAGAATGAAATGGCCACCCACTCCAGTATTTTTGCCAGGGAAATCCCATGGACGGAGGAGCCCAGTAGGCTGCAGTCCATGGGGTTGCAAAAGAGTCGGATATGACTTAGCGACTAATCAACAGATACTATAAATACTTAATAATGATAGATTAAAACAACACATGATGCAAAGTGACAATAATAAAAATGTAATTGCTTTGTTGAATTTTAATAGGTGTTAGCAGTGTGCCAGGTACTACACATGTATTAACTCCTTCATCCTTGCAAACAAACAAACAAAAAAATCCCTTACAGCAGCTTTAACCTACAAAAATGAATAATTTTATGATTCACCAAATGCAATGATTATTCCCACTTCAAAGGTGAATAAAAAGAGAAGACTAAAGAAATGGACAGGCTTCCCTGGTGGCTCAGCGGTAAAGAATCCGCCTGCTAATGCAGGAGATGCAGGTTCAATCCCTGGGTTGGGAAGATCGTCTGGAGAAGGGAATGGCAACCCCTCTCCAGGATTCTGGGTTAGGGGAGGATAAAAGAGTTGGACACTACTGAGCAACTGAACAACAAGAGCAAAGACGTGGACACGTTTCCTTGACATTATTCAAATACAAATGTTGGAGCTGGGATCAAAGCCAGGGTCCCGGACTCCAGGAGCTTGTGCTCCATCACTATGCTGCATTGAACCAAAAAGGCAGAAATTTAAACATGACCAGAGGATAGGAGGCTGGTTTTAAAACAGGACTGGCAGCTGTTCAGATAATCGCTCTGGATGGTAGTACCATACGCCTGGCTCCCGTCGGCTGAATTTTATTTTTACCATCCTCTTTAGATGACAATAACACTTATCCCTTCTAATGATGTGCAGGTGCCAAGATAAGGCCTGGAGGAAGAACTTCCTTTCTTAGTTAACCTCCATGAGTCACTTGCCCTTCTCCCTGTGATCAGGAATTTATTTTAAGTAACTGGCTTCCAGGGGATGTCGTGGGGAGGGATGTAGACGGCTGGTCAGATTTTGCAGAATTTCATGAACTCACCAACTCTGACCTTCCCTAGGGCCTCTGAGTAAGCTGAGTCTTTCTACGAAAGTGTCCTTGTAACTTTTTGATGTGGGTGGTGTGCGACCGATCCCTGCAAAAGTGTTAAGGTGCCTCAGCTTCCTGCAGGAAATCTGTGACTGAGTCCGGGGCCTGAAAGCGGAAACATTAAGTGTATCGTGGGAGAAGAGGAAGGCAAAGTGCTAAAGTTATTACTCTGAACAGAGGAAGTCAGAGCATCCTGCGGAAAACTTCCTGTTTAGCCAGTAGACGAGAAAACAAGAAGAAAAACACTCGGCCTCGATGACTGCTGTGTAAATAGATTCCCAAACTTTCATTACCTTGGGCAGGGCTTCCTTGCAAGAACTCATGGCTTCCCGAGGTGAAGGGTGAGTCATGTGAGCAGACCCAGCTTCCCATCTTCCTTGTTTTGGTGGGCACGTCCAACCCCCTGCTCCCCCAGCTCCAGCCTGTGTGACATCTGAGGCTAGACTTTCCCCCTGGAATGCACTTCCTTCGGTTTGTATTAAACCCTCTGCTGAGATGGATTCATAGAATGTGATTCAAGGATGCGGGTTCCAAGTCTCCAGCTTCCTCCAAGGCCAGGCTGTGGGAACCGCCGACGCTGGAATGAGCAAGCCACCCTGAGGCTCAGATGAAGTGTGAGCAGCTATTTATGCATCTCATAAACGGTCGCATAAGATACAGTTCCAGGAGAAAACTGGGCGTTCTGAATTTCTCTATTCAAAGGTTAAGCACTTAAGGGACTTCCCTGGTGGCCCAGTGGCTAAGACTCCATCCTTCCAACCTAAGGGGCCCAGGTTTGAGGCAGAGAGCCGACTCACTGGAAAAGACCCTGATGCCAGGAAAGATCTCAAATGCTGCAACTAAAAGAACATGTCCCAATGACGATCAAAGATCCCATGTGCCGCAGCTAAGACCCAGCGGAGCCAAATGAATAAATAAATAATTTTTTTTTAAGTTTAAGCATTCAGGAAAATTTCTGGTATTTGGTCAAACATATCCCAGATGGTGTTATGCTGTGATATGTGTTATATTGTATTATGTGTCTTATGTTATGACAGGAAGTCACTTTGAATAAAGACCTTTTTAGCTGTCTTAAAATTTATCAGACTAGATTGCTTTGTATGAAATAAAGTAGAGTGGTTAGAATGGGAAAGAATGAAAGCTGATCATTTTTAGCAGATGTTAGCTGTCCAGACTTCTCCATGGATCCATACTTCACCTGTGCGGGCTATCTTTTCTCTCGAGGACGGTCTTCATTTTCCCCCTTTCCTTTCTTTCCACTCTCTAAATGAGTCTGGCCTCCCAATCGTTTTTTTCCCCCTGGCCCGCCCCCATATTTTCTTTTCTGAAATTTCTGATCAAAAAGTACTTGCAACAAATAGATAGTTAAGCGTAGAGAAGCCTTACAAATCAGTAGAGATGGAAAATGTTAAAAATGTTCAAATTGAAGTCTAGCTGATCTACAATGATGTATTAATTACTGCCGTATAGCAAAGTGACTCAGTTATCCGTGTATACATTGTTTTTTTAAATAATCTTTTCCATGATGGTTTATTACGCGACGGTGAATGTAATTTCCTGCAGTGAATCACACAGTAGGAACTTCTTGCTGTCCATTCTCTGTATGAAAGCTTACATCTGTTAACCCCAACCCCCACTCCACGCCTCCCTCAACCCCTCCCCCCTTGGCTCCCACTAGCCCGTTTTCTATATTTGTGAGTCTGTCTCTTAAGGGCATATTTAATCAGTGGTTTGTCTGATATCCCTATTCTCTCTCTATCCTTTCAAACACCACACATTTGAACATCAGCCATCATTTGAAGGTGGCACTCTGATAGTGACACTTTTGTAAGACAGTTTTGCTCCCTAAGATCCTGAGACCCTTCAACATAGTTGTATATATTTCTTCTAAATTTTCAGACTCTGCCGTGATGATTTATGGTAGCAATAATAGCATATACTCTGCACAGTGTTAATACTGGGGATAGACCTGCTGTGACGGTGAGCAAGTTCAGCGTGGCCAACCAGTCCAGGCTGGTCGTTGATTGGGATGACGGCCTCATCACGACCGTCCTTACCCACTGCCAACGGCTGTGCCCCGTGTCCTCACAGTGTGGCTCCGCCTTAGAAACTCCAGTTCCCCTCTCTGACTGATCAGCTAGGTGCCTGACTCCTGCAGCAGCTCTTTCTAATGCGTTTATTCGGCTGCCTTGGTCTTCGCTGTATCACGCGGGATCTTCGTTGTGGCTTCGGGACTCGCTGGGTGCGGCGCGTGGACCCAGCAGCTGTGGTGTGTGGGCTGCAGGGTGTGTGGGCTTCCGGGCTCGTGGCAGGCGGGCTCCAAAGGGCCTGGCCTTAGTTGCTCCATTGCATGCGGGATCCAACTCCCTAACCCAGACCCAACCCACGTCCCCTGCATTGCAAGGCACATTCTTAAGCGCTGGATCGCCAGGGAAGTCCCTATTCTTTCATTACTGTGTTCTCACTGCTGATTGCAGTGCTTGGCGCATGAAAGGCTCTCAGCATGAAAGGCTCTTGAACGTGTAAATGAAGACTTCCCCAGCGACTGGTACCCTTGGCCTTCCTGTCTTTGAGTGAAGGGTGTGAGGTGGTCACCCCTTGTTTCATCTGCGTCCTTCTGAGGGCTAACGTTGGGGGCAGGCTCCTCTCCACACACCTCTTACCTGTCTGCATTTTCTGTTCCAGGAAGCGTCTGTGCAGAGCTTCCATCTATTGAAGTCCCTACTTTTTCCATTGCTGATTTCTAAAAATTCTTGACAAATCTGGGTAGCAGCTCTCTGTCAGTTTTAGACACCACCTCGTTCTCCAAGTTCTTTGTGAATGCTAATCTTCACTCAGCAAAACCTCCCTGTCGATGCAGCTGTATCTACGGGAAAAGGCAGATCAGATTCTGTAACCGTCCTGATGGGGATCCCTTAACGACTCAGATCCTTAAGATAAACATGAAACCTCTAACAGGATACGAAGCTCCTCCAAAGGTTTACCTAATGCCTTACTACTGTCCCTCTTGTTCTTGGCTTTTTTCCTATAGCATGATGGTACTGTCTTCTAAGCCAGGACTTTGTTGAGATGAAGGGACCTTGTTAATCAGGACATCAAAGCAGTCGGTAGGAACAGGGACTGTCTAGGTGACCTGGGACCTCTGGTCACCCTGGCTATCTGGGTTTCTGCTTCTTTGAACCTGAAAATCTTTCTGGGCTTTTTCTCTGTGGATTTTTCCTTTATCTTCAACATTCCTTCCCACTCATGCAGCTTTCCCCAAGATCACCTTCCCCTGTCATTTTTCAGGTCTCAGAGCTACTCCAATCCAGAGAGAAGCCTTCTCTGGACACGGTCATATACTTTGAAACAGAGACTTCATTTCTTCATTTCTTGGTTCTCATGACACTTTTTGTTATACTTCCTGCTTCGTGACTGACTTCTCTGTCTGACTTGAACTCCAGCGACTTGTCTGCCCTGCTCACTGGTGTACCCCACGGGCCTAACAGAACTCTTATAACAGAGGTGGCAGTGAATTCACGCTCGCTGGGTGGTGCAAGTTCATCTTCACAGTACCTCTGCAGGGTGAATATTACTATCCTCAATTTTTATAACTGAAACATACAGAGGTTGTATGATACCATGAAGCTAGTAAACCGTGTAGCTCGGTAGGGATAATATGAAAACTGAATTTAAAACCCCATGCTGTCAAGCACTGTGCATCTTCCCTCTATAAATGAATTCTCTTTGTTCATGGTCTTTTATAAGACAGACCTAACTCACTCCTGCTGATCACTGTTTGGACTATTCATCTGAATAATTCTGCTAAGGAAAACATAAATCTGAAAGTATATTTCAAAACCTAGAAATATCTAAACTCTTTGATCTAATAACTCCATTTCCAGAGCTATGTCTTATAGGAATAAATAAAAGATGAAGAGAAAAATTTATGCGCCAAGATACATGCTGCAAAGTAATTTATATAAGCAGAAATGTAAAATTCCTGCAAGCTTAATAAAAGGAATGAAATAATTAATTAAAATATGACAGGCCCATGGAAGAAATATATGTCATCATTAAAATGATGTTTACAAAACATGTTTAAAAATATGAGAACATACTTGCAATAATATATAAGAATATAATGAAAAGTGGCTAAAACTCCAGAAGGAAAAGGGGTGACCTTTGAGAGAGCAGTGTTGACATATGCACACTACCATGTATAAAACAGATGGCCAGTGGGAAGCTGCTGCAGAGATCATGGGGCCCAGCTCGATGCTCTGTGATGACCCAGAGGGCTGGGATTGGGGGGAGTGGGGGGAAGGTTGAGGAGGGAGGGGACATATGTGTTCTTGTGGCTGATTCACAGTGTTGTATGGTAGATGCCAACACAATACTGTAAAGCAACTATCTTCCAAATTAAAAAAAATGAATAATTTCAAGATGGTGATAATATAGGATGAAAACCAAAATGTGGTTCCTCTGAGTGTGGAATCCTGTGTCTACACAAGTCTTACACTTTTAAAACCAGTCCTGTCTGCATATTCCAATAACAAAATAACTGCAAAAAAGTATATTCAGTTATTTCTAGCAGTTTCCTTTTGTGGTTGCATTATGAGTGGTTATTGTCTTCCTACTGCTTTACTAAAGTCCCTAAAATGTTCTCCATGGCATATATTGCTTTAATAGTCAGAAGTAAAGATTATTTTTAAAAGCTACAGATTTTCATAAATCCTACAAAGCTACAGTTATATCCTGAAGCTTAACTATGAGGTTTCCTAGAATGTACTTGGAGTGTGCTTTGCTGCTCAGCACCCCGAAATACTTCTCGGCAGAGTTTTTGGTTATTTCAACTATTGTTGCCTCATGGTAATAAGATTAGCCCTTGGAAACTTGACTGAAGTTGGTAAAGGGTGTCTTTATTATCCTTTTCCCTTTTTCTTTTTTCCAGGAAGATCTCTCTCTCTCTGCATTTTTTCCTTTTATCCACACAGCGAGTTATTATACCCTGCTTTATCAGAAGAGGAAAAGTAGTTATCATTTGTTACAGGGTTGCTACATGAAAAAGCCACACAGCCGGCGTTAACTGTAACGTCCCTTTCACTCTGTTCAGCAATCTGATCGAGTGGACCACTGTTGTTTCAGTGTCGTAGAAGAGGATGTTAAGTCCTCGAGTTTGTACATCCAGGGCCATAACCCTAGTAAGAGACAGAACAGGACGAGACCTCAGCTGGAGTCTCCAGATAGGGTCACCAACACCTCCTCCCACCTCTGGGTGTGCCTGTGTGCCTTAGATCAAGAGGTGGGTTCTGCTTCCCTACTGGAATGGGAATGGGGTTCGGACTTGCTTTGACCAATAGAATGAAATAGAAGTAATATTCCAGAACTTCAAAGGGTCGAGCTTAGCAGCTCCTGTTTCCCAGAACTTGGAACCCAGCCCCCAAGCTGTAAGGACATCCAGACTAGAGCGTTGGAGACCACGGGAAGAGGGGCTGGAAATAAATAGGTCGCCTCACTGTGTATATAAACCTCACAGTCAGGTAGGGATGAGGGCTCTGGGAACTCGGATGTCAGAGCTTGTTTTATCATCTGTGCTCTAACAGAGGGGAGTAAACAATGCTGCAGATGCAGAGGAAGGGGGAGTGACTGTGCGTCTACGGCTGGGGGCGTGGTGAAGGTCGCCTTATGAAAGAGGTCACAGCATTTGTCATATATCTGGAGGGCTAGTAGGGTTTCTGAGGTAGAAAAGGATGTTGTAGGCATTTCCAAAGACACAGAGGCGTAACAGAACAGGGTGTGCCCAGGGAATGAGTGAAGAGTATTTTCCATGGTTTCTTTGTGTCAGACACGTCTAAACACTAAATCCTCTGAAGGCTCTAAACTTTCTCACTGCAGTTTGCACGCTGGTGAGGCTGCACTAGGCCAGGGCAAGGGTTTCCTTTATTCCTGTTACTCAATTCTTTTATTGTGATAGTATATTGTGTATTAGTTTCCAAAGGCTGCTCTAACAAATGACCACAAACCCAGCGGCTAAAGACAACAGAAACTCCTTCTGTCGTAGTTCTGGAGGCAAGAAACCTGAAGTCCAGGTGTTGGCAGGGTCACATGCTCTCTGAAGTCTCTAGAAGAGAATCTTCCCTGCCTTGTCCAGCGTCTGGGGGCTCCGGCGTCTCTTGGTGTCTGGCCACATGACTTCCGTCTCTGTGTCCATGTGGTCTTATTCTCTGCATCTTCTCTCTTCTGAGAGAGACAGCATGACTGGCTTTGGGGCCCACCCTAGTCCAGGATGACCTCATCTCACGTTCTGAGCTTGATGGCACCTGCAAAGACCCCCTTTCCCAAATGTGGTCACCTTCACCGGTTCTGGGCGAAAACAAATTTTGGGAGAATGGTCATCATTCAACTTTAGACAAGAAACCAAAATCTCTCTTGGCTAATTCATTATACTTAAGGACAAATTAAAATACAAATCCTTCTCGGGTCACCATTCATAAACTTCCAATTTTAACATTTCTGCAGTGTTTAGTTTGAAATGTGACTTCAGGGAAACAACACCAGCAGGTTCTCCTAGGCAGGACTCTTATCAGAGCAGAATTGCTCTCACGGCTAGCTGTGCCAAATTGAAATCTTAAGAAAATATAATGGGGTTATATGAAACGGTGGTTGGAAGGTGGTCTACGTTATTACACATACGTGTTCTTCATTAGATTTTACTGTCAGCAAATGCTGGTGTGAAACGCACTGCCCTTCCTCATGCGAGGAGAACCAAAAAACACACCAACATCTGGGATCTTTGCATGGGTTATTTTGTGGGTTCCAAAGACTACAAACCAAATTCAGAGAAACATGAATGGAAATTCAATGGGGTTTATGTTGGACTTTTAGCATTACTTCTTTGGTCAGGAAGGAAGGATTGCCTGGAACTGGAACTTATTGCTTGAGTCCAGTTTTCTTTTCTTTGTGTCTCGAGTTTCTATTCTTAATCCAAAATAGAATTTAGAATAGTTTCTATTCTTAATCCAAGCTTGAAGAGTGAGAGATACTCCCCCAGCCCATAATATGATAGGATTTTACCTGCCAAGGTAACATGAAAACTTCAGGTGGGTTTAAGCTGACTTCTCTTTGGAAGCAAGAGAATTTTAAAGCTTATAGGAACTCTTTCAGTTTTCTTCAACTACTATCACTGGGAAAGTGAAAGTTGCTCAGTCGTCTCCAACTCCCTGCAACCCCATGGACTATAAAGTCCATGGAATTCTCCACGCCAGAATACTGGAGTGGATAGCCTTTCCCTTCTCCAGGGGATCTTCCCAACCCAGGGATCGAACCCAGGTTGCCGGCATTGCAGGCGGATTCTTTACCAGCTGAAGCCACAAGGGAAGCCCAACATTGGGAACTGTAGTAATTCTAGGTGTTTCCTTTAAAACTTCTACATCTATAGAGGCAGCTGGAGAAGGAAATAGCAACCCACATCAGTATTCTTGTCTGGGAAATCTCATGGACGGAGGAGCCTGGCGGGTCGAAATAGCTGGACAGCCCTTAGCGACTCAACTACTGCCACCACATGGGGCAGCAGGGAGCCTGTTTTACTCACGTCTTACAGAGAGTACTGAACACTTTCCAACTTCTTCAACACTATCGTCAGTGATCATCTTCATAATTTTCATTATCATCACCGTCATCACTATCAGCGTCACCATCATCAGTACCAGCTGGAGGATTCCCTCACTGAGCTCATGGTTGGTCATCACACTCTCCTGTCCTCCAAAAGAAAACAGAAAGAGGTGCCTCCCGGAATGTTCAGGTGGCCTGTCTGCCTTCTTGCTCCACGTCTCTCTGTGTTGATTTCATGGACACATTCAAAGCATCCACGGGCTCTAAGGCATATCAGCTCAGGATGCCAAGCAACTGGTCTCGACAGTGCAGACCCAGCCCGCTCCTGAATTCTGTGTCCTCTGTTTCTCGTGTTATGATGGTCTGCTCTCCCGAAGGCCAGAGATCATTTTCATCTGGATGAAAGCCTTGTTACCGTCTTTAGAAGTGAGGACCGTAGCCTCCACGCTGAGAAAAGTGAGGGCTGTAGCCTCCATGCAGAGTTGACATCAGAAAGGCTGCCTGTACTTCAAGGTAGGGCAGATTACCTCGTGCCACTCCCCCTGGTTTTCCTAACCCTTCTGACCCTTCATCCGTTGTTCATTAGATCCAAGGAAGTGTTCCCTGGATGCAAGCCCAGCAAAGACTCTCTCCATTGAGATATTCCCTAATTCAGGACCCAGCCTCTGGAATTCAGAAGCCAGATCTCTGTGCGTATTCTCTAACTGCTTGGCACACAGGGTTTTGTGAAATGAAAGACAGGCTCTGACCAGTCAGTGCCTCAAGAAGCTGTGCAAATCCCACTTAACGTTCCACAGACTTAGAGACGTGTTTTTCCACCTGATAATTATTTAGAGCAATTTGGCTGCTCCGGCTTCCGTCTTGACTTCCATCATTCAAAATCTGGGAAACTTATATCCAGCCCTCCTGGAAGACTCATTGAAAGGTCTGGAAATCTGTTGAGCTGAGGAAATATTGAAGCCAGAAGCTAGGTGGCGCTGGCTGCCACGGGCTGTTCAAGGCACGCTTGTACATGTCGGAACATGCCCGGCGTGCAAGGGACACAGCTGTGAAACCCGGCTAAGGGTCTGGGCTGAGAGGCAGGGCGCCCGATGTGAAACAAAAGAGAAATCTAGACGTTTCCCTGCATTGCTCTCACTCCACACCATTACTCGCTCTTGAAGGAGACCCGAGGCTTCTGACTTGTAAAAGGAAAAGGAGACCACGATTGTACGCGTCTGCTTTCTAAACGGAACTCCTGGTCATTTGCAATTCTGATATTCTGTTTAGTCTTTTTGGTTGTGCCATCAACACGGGCCTGGAGCGCCACAGAAAAGCCAGCAGTTCTGAATTAGCAGTCGGAAGAGAACTTGGTTTCAGTACCTTTTCCATTAATGCCTATTTTCCACCAGCCACATAACCTGTGCATTTGCAATTATTTCTCCAGTGGCACTGGCTTTCTTAAGCTGTAGTCAGGAAATAAAACTGCTCGGGTGGAAAGGCTGGAATTGTAGCTGAGGACACAGGAATGTCCACCCAGCCTTTAAGGTCCTGTAGAGTAGAAGAGAGCAAAAATGTGAAGGAGGCAGGTTGAACAAAAATCGAGTTTTTATCAATTTCTAGTCGCATCGGCTGGCAGCGCCGTCTTCTGCAGGGTCGCTTCTTTCAGGCACAGGAGATATTAATCTTCCAAAGTGTTCTGCTCTGTGAATGCTTATGGAAAATGTTTTATAGATAAATATCACATCACACTTAAGAGGTACATTTAATAAGTTCCATTTATTGACTGTAATGTAGCTACATGAAGTGGAAAAAGTCATCAAGAATATGCTTTTTGTTAATATTTCCAACTGTCCTCAAAGACACTAGCTATGGTGTACATACATCTGTAATGGTGATGGGCTTACTGCACAAGAAAAAAACGAGCACACTGTTGATCTTTTCTTTTTCTTTCCTTTCTTTCCTTCTTCTTCTTCTTTTTTTTTTTTTGGGACATATTGACTGGTAAAATGCTGATCCTAATTAATTCCCAAGTGGAAACAGGCTTGCAGGCTGGCAGAGGGGACATAAACTTTATTGGTCTCAGAGATGCTGGGATCTTTGTTCTAACAGGAGTAGCTTTGGCTCAGGTTAATATTTCTGGTGGCTCAGTGGTAAAGAATCTGTCTGCCAATGCAAGAGACGCAAAAGGTGTGGGTTCAGTCCCAAGGTTGGGAAGATCCTCATGGGGGTGTACAATGTAAGGGATAATAGGGAGGGGTTCGGAGGAGCTGGAAGAAACTTTAGCCTGCCCATCAAGCCAGCCTGACCCTGATTGGACAGCAGAAATCCTAGAATGCCCTGCAGTCCAAGGGAAGTTCAGGGGAGCTGGGGAGCGCTCTAGCCAAAGCTGGCCATTGGAGGACCTCCTGTCTCAAAGGAAGGGCTTTGCCTGAGTGTCCCTCCCGTTCAGCCACTGGTCAGGGCCGGCGGCCTGTGGACGGCAAAGCCTCGGCTGGCACAGGATGCCGGATTCCCGAGCTCGGCAAGTGGGGCCCTTGTTCCGTGATCTTCCCTGTAGATGAAGATCGGTAATGGGCATTCTTATGTTGACATACACATCATTTGTTTTAAAAAAATATTTATTTATTTAGGCTGTGCTGGGCTTTAGCTGTGGCACGCAGGATTGAAGACGTATGGCAGGCAAGATCTTTAATTGTGGCATGTGGGATCTAGTTCCCCGATTAGGGATCGAACCTGGGCCCCCTGCATTGGGAGTGTGGGGTCTTCACAGCTGGACCACCAGGGAAGTTCCACCGATACCATTTGAATTTTCAAGTGTTAGGAGACACACCCCGGACCCCAGACAGGCTACTATAACATGACCACGTAGATGCAAGAGTGCAGTTTAAGTATTTAAGAAGGAATAGCCTTCTTGGAACTAAAGGAAGGAAGGATCACACACATTTAGAGCAAGCAGTGTCACTGGCCTTGGTAATGGACCTTGCACGGGGATTAATATTATACGGGGGAGGGAGGGGGGTGGGATGAACCGAGAGAGCAGCACTGACGCCCAGACACTGTGTGTGCTCCTGCCTGCTCAGTCAGCCAGGCACGTCTGGCTCTTTGAGACCCGATGGACTGCAGCCCACCAGGCTCCTCTGTCCATGGCATTTTCCAGGCAAGAATACTGGAGTGGGTCGCCATTTCCTCCTCCAGGGGCTCTCCCGATCCAGGGGTTGAACTTGCATCTCCTGCAGTGGCAGGTGAGTGTAAATAGAGAGCTAGCAGGAAGCTGCTGCATCGCACCGGGAGCCCAGCTCAGTGCTCTGTGATGAGCTGGGGCTGGGACGTGGCGGGTGGGAGGGAGGCTCCAGATGGAGGGCTTATATGTTCACATGTAGCTGAATCGTGTGTCGTATAGCAGAAACCAACACAGCTTTATAAAGCAATTACACTCCGATTTAAAAAAATTATTATAAAGTATAAAAATTATGCTATTAGCTTGATGCCAGCAGGGAGGAGAGGGCACCCCTCACGGAACAAACAGTGGAGCACAATGTTGGGAGAGCGATGCTGTGTGCTGTGTCGGGGGACAGTGAGGGGCCCCATGCACCTGTCGCATCAAGAGTCTGCAGGAAAACTGATGGATTGGCCGTTAGCTAGTTGTAGGGTGGAGGGCAAGGCTGAGCAGCAGGAGTGGGAGTTGGCCAAGCAGTGCAGAAGGAAGAGACTTGGAGGCAGGAAATAGCACGGGAAGAAGAAGAGGTGTTTTTATGTGAAGATGAGGTCTAAGGGAAAGGAGTGAAGATAAGTCGTATCAATGGGAGAACCAAGGTGGGCTTGTCCTTAAATCTGAAAACTGCTTAGGAGTTGTGAGACAAAGGTGCTCAAGGTAGTATGAATATGGTAGCCCTATTGAATTAGGGCGTGATGGACAGAGACGGGAGTGGAAAGAGAAACTGGCCCGAAGTTGGAGGGCGAGGCTAGAGGGTGAGTTAGGATTCTGTAGACTCCAGCACAAAGGAAAGAAAGAGGCGGATGTAATTAATGAAGATGACGTATCAGGATAATGAAGCACTGGTTTCTGTGTTCCCAGACCGTGTGCATTTATCACGGACCAAATAACAATTACAATCAGCGAGTGATAAATACTATCTCCTCTGGCAGATTGTGAGTGCCTGGGAGACTCATTCATCTTTGCATTGCCAGGACGCTTCTGAAAAGGGACCATAGAAATATTGAGTAAGCACCTACTGAATAGAAGAATGAGGACTGGGTATCCGGAAATGAAAGCCAGTATCATTTGAGCCCATGGTGAGGGATAAGCCCTGTCAGGCCCTTTGGCCCATATCGTTTCAACCATTTTCCAACCATCTTATGAAGCAGGTGTTATCCTACTTAAGAAATGAAGAGATGGAGGCTTGCAGGGGTGGCATTAACTCACAGTTTCCCATCACCAGTAAATGGCAGAGACAGAGCAGGATGCTGGGGTGGGATGGGGTAGGTAAAAAGAAGCTTCCTCCATTGAAGAGGGCTTTGATGTGGCTTCTGAAAAAGCCTGGTTTGGGTTAACACTAAGAAGTTAAAGGAGTTTGTGAATAAAAGGTTACAATTCAGTGGTAAGACGATACACTCCCAGATAATGTCATGAATATGAGGCCGTAGGGTGGTGATTGGGAGCTAGCTTGGCCCAGTAATTAAATGAGGATGAGAGAACGGAAAGAGAGCTGCAGGAATGGATGTGAAAACCCAGGATGGAGGAAGTATTTCTTCCACATTGCCTTCAGTTTAAGAAACTATAGCACAAAATACAAAACAGCAGGGTACCAAGTTATGCTATGCTTCCCACGTGGTGCTAGTGGTAAAGAATCCCCCTGCCAATGCAGGAGACAAAGAGATGAGGGCTCAATCCCTGGGTTGGGAAGATTCCCTGGAGAAGGAAATGGCAGCCCACTCCAGTATTCTTACCTGGAGAATCCCACGGACAGGGGAGCCTGGCGGGCTACAGTCCATGGGGTTGAGAAGAGTTGGACATGACTGAGCACGCCTGTTGCTTAACTATCCTTTGCTATGTGACAAATCACCCCCAAATGCAGTTACTTAAAAAAAGAACGTTGATTATCTCACAGTTTGTGTGGAACATAGAGATGGCTTAGCTGGTCCTCCAGCTTACAGATTCTCATAAGGCTTCAGTGAGGCTGTCAGTCTGGGCTACGGGTGTCTGGAGCTGGCCAGGGGCGGGTCTGCTTCCAAGCTCATCACGATGCTGTCGGAAGAATTCAGCTCCTGGTAGGCTGCAGGCGCAGAGTCCCAGTTCCTCATCCCTTAGTCCTCCTGTCAGACTTACCCCACGTGAGCTGGGGCTGTCAAGATGGGCAGATGACAAAGAGCCAGCCGACGCCAGCAACATGGAAGTCATGACTTTTTATAACTTAATTTCTGAAGTAATATCCCATCACTTTTGCTATTTAGAATCAAGACACTAAGACCAGTCCCCCCACAAAGAGGGGATGGAATTTGTACAAGGAACACCAGGAACCACAGGTGGCTGTTTTGGATGCAGCCAACTACAAAGCGATTTGCTGAAATAAGATGCTCTCTTCCAGAGGAAGAATTAGAAGTGAAGTCGTTGGTGTGGAACTGAGCATGTGATGAAAGAGGAACAGGTTATGAGTCACTTGGGTGTGTAAGGAAATCAGATGATGTATTCAGACTCAGCTTTATCTTCCTGATACACCTTCTGCAGCAGGATTTCTGCAACCTCTCCCCACCCTCTTTCAGCTGACGTGTTGGTTAAGGCAGAACCTTTCAGTGTATCACCCTCATCTGAATTTTTGATCACAGATTTGAACTCTGATTGTTTTTCAGTGACTGTTTCGGTGTTCCCAAATCATATCAGATGATTCAGTGATAAAGGTATCGCTCATGTTTCTGGAGCCTCAGTTAAGCTTTGAAACACACATTCTATGGCTGGATAGCTTTTTCTCCCCCAAAGTAGTTCATGGTCAGAGAAGAGTAAGGACTTAGATAAGATCCTGAATACACTGATGGTGTGTGGCAGGTATTTGATAAAGATGGATACAGTCTTACTAATGGAAAAGTGACGTGACAAGTGAAAGTGACCAGTCACGAAACACTACATAACGTGCAATTCCATTGACATGAAATGTCCAGAAGAGGCAAATTCACAGAGAGAAAATGAGATTTGTGTGGGTGGGGCTGTTTTTTTTTTTTCAGGTTTTTACACAAGGTGTTTGGAAAATCCAAATGAACGTTTTGGCTAACCCAATAGGTGATGGTGACCGACGCACAACTCTGTGAACACACCAAAAGCCATTGCACGCCACAGAGTACATCATGAGAAATGCTGGGCTGGATGAATGACAATCTAGAATCAAGATTGCCAAGAGAAATGACAACCTCAGATATGCAGATGATACCACTGTAACGGCAGAACATGAAGAGGAACTAAAGAACCTCTTGATGAAGGTGAAAGAGGAGAGTGAAAAAGCTGGCTTGAAACTTGTCATTCAAAAAGCTAAGATCATGCATGGCATCTGGTCCCATCAGTTCATGGCACAGAGAAAGGGAAAAAGTGGAAGAAATGGCAGATTTTATTTTCTTGGGTTCCAAAAATGCTGGGGACAGTGACTGCAGCCATGAAATTGAAATAAACTTGCTTCTTGGAAGGAGAGCTATGACAAACTAGAGAGTGTATTAGAAAGTAGAGACATGACTATAACGTCCACACAGTCAGAGCCGTGGTGTTTTCAGTAGACACGTGCAGATGAGATTTGAATCCTAAAAGAGTCTGAGGGCCGAAGAATTGACGCTTTTATGAATTGTGGTGTTGGAGAAGATGCTTGAGAGTCCCTTGGACTGCAAGATCAAACCTGTCAATCCTAAAGAAATTAACCTGAATATTCACTGGAAGGACTGATGCTGAAGCTCCAATACTTTGGTCACCTGATGCAAAGAACTGACTCACTGGAAAAGGCCCCAATGCTGGGAAAGATTGAGGGCAAAAGGAGAAGGGGGGTGGGAGAGGAAGAGATGATTAGATAGCTTCACTGATACAATGGACAGGAATTTAAGCAAACTCCGGGAGATTGCGGCTAACAGAGGAGCCTGGCATGCTGCAATCCACGGGGTTACAGAGAGTTGGACATGACTGAGTGACTGTAGTTGTTGTCCAACTACATCTGTTGGAGGTGCCTATGAACCAACTTTCACCAGTTTAAACTTTTAACCATGGACTTTCTATTACAGTGCTTCTTAGTTAAATATGGCAGTTTAAGAAAGTTGGTTACATTATGATAATCCTGTTGAGTATATCAACTCTACCACAAAAACCTTTCAGAACAACATAACTGCCCATCATTCAAAAGAATTGTAGAATTTCATTCCTCATGAATATACAGGCCGGGGGAAAAGTTCATTTACTGTCATTTCAGCATTTTGAGTTTTCATTAACATTTTGTTCCTAAAGATGAGTGGTAATCTAGCAAATGTAGTTAGATGAGATGCTAACACTTGTCACATAAAATCTCCTAAAAAAAGTTCAAGTTCTAACACCTTGTGTCCTGAATTCT